CGCTATTAAAAACCTAACTAGCCGGGAAGGGCAGTGGTGTGATCTCTAGTGACCGCCGAAACCCTCTCTTCCCAGTAAATCCCTTTCCTCAATCCTCATGGCGTCCCAAGGTCGTAGGGGTGGAGCCTCGCTCCCTGATAGGCCCACAAGGAACCAACCCACCGGTATTATCTCCAAGCTTTCACAGTCTCCTCTCGTCTCCAGGGGCAAGGAGGTTGCCGGCGACGCCGCTCTCGTCACGAAGAAGCTCCTCAAAAGCACCGGTAAGGCCGCTTGGATCGCTGGCACCACTTTCCTCATCCTCGTTGTGCCTTTGATTATCGAGATGGACCGTGAGCAGCAGTTGAACGAGCTCGAGCTTCAGCAGGCCAGCCTTCTCGGTACCCCTACCACCATGGGTCCACCGCCCCAGAAGTGAATGAACCGTTTAGGTTAGGTAAATTTTCTGGTTCGGTTTTCAATGTGATTGTTTGAATCTGAGTCACTTGGGTTAGATCTTGTGGAAGCATTGGGAGAATCATTGCTGATTCTCTTCTTTTTAATGGTATTGAAACAATATAAGTCCATGATTTCGTATTGCAATAACCTTACAATTGTAGCTTTAAAAGTATTCTATCTGTATGTTTTTTGGTTTTTTGCCAACTTATATCCCTCCATGTTACTCCTTAATATACATTATCAGGTCAACGTGGTATGTTTAATTTATCGTCTTACTGGTCTTAGTGTTCTGATTGTTCATGTATGCAGTTCGGGTTTAGTAATCTGATAAAAGTGGAAGAAAATTTTCGTGTTCGATTAATAAAAGATGGAGGAGGGAATAGGAGAAACTGAATATTTCTATCAATTATTATTGAGTGACGGCCTGATACGATGTCCAAGGGGCCGTTTGATTCATTGAATCATGGGTAACAGAATGTAATGTAATAACTGAGAATGGAATGTGATGCAAAGAAAGATTACAATGAATTTGTTTGGTTCAACTTGATAGTGTTAAAAGGAATAATAATTTTTATATTAAATTTAATAATCATAAAAATGAAAAAGACTGAAATATCCTCATAGCCTTCTTCCTCCTCCCTTCACATCACTCACCATAATAAATTTCCAGAAAAATAATCCTTCAAGACAAAAAAAGAGTTGTTCAAAAAAAAAAAATTGTGAAATCATTAGATGGAGGAGGTATCAAATTTGCAAAAATAAATAAGGACTCAAATTAACAGGACAAACTTGGATTCATATATACAAAATGTAGAATTATAAAAGTAAAGAAGGTAGAGGCCGTAGCTGAGTAGGAAAATCAATGGGGAGGCAGATCTGCCAAGTAGCTGGAATTTTGGAGATGATGCTGATGATTAGAACGAGTTCAAATGAGTGTGGCGGAGTTTGATAGTGGCAACAACAATGCTGAGGTGAAGCACACAGGTAGATTGATGGCTGTTGCTAGTCGGTGGCTATAGAGTAGATTTATTGGTGAGTGATGGATGGCTGGAGAGGAAAATGGGTTGATGGTTTCTTCTTTTATTTTAAGGACAATCGTGTAATTTTATCATGTGTGTTTACTAGAAGTACTATTTGATAAAATATTAAACATATGTAACTAGTAAAAACACTATTTTAGAAAAATAGATAAATATGACAAGTAAAATGAAATGGGATTTTATATTTAGGACTAATTAGATATCAAAATAATTTTTATATTAAAGAACAGAGTTAGTATGCTGTTAAAAAAAAATTAGTTGTGAAAAAATATTATGGGATTTCATATTAAAATTTTTAAGGTAAAATAATATTTTTCTGTTGGCATTAAAAAATCATTTTTTCAAAAACATATTTAATATTATATTTATAAATACATATACACATATTAATTATTTATTAACTATATTTTTTTACATATTATTTATTACATTGGCAAAAATATATTATTAACAAATTTATTATTTCAAATAAAAATATATTATAAAATTTATCTTAATTAACATATTAACTTATGTTTTTTAGTAATTTGTATATATAAAAAATATTTCTGATAACAACTATCCAAACACTCTCATTTTATCAAAATCATTTTTTTATAAAATCTATTCTCAAAAATAACTTTTTTTTCCTAAAAGTTATTTTTCAAATCATGATTAGATTTTGTCCAAACATCTCATAAATCTTTTCATCTAAGCTGCAAAAATTAAACTGATAATTTCGTAGAAGGGTAACTGTTACGCGGACAAAGGAAGGAAAACCGCCACAGGACTCTACTTATTCAGTGTTAATTTTTTTAGGAATCCTAGTTCATTGTTCCTCTTTCTAATAAACGCAAGAATTTTTACTTGAAATGTAAAGTTCATCCAGACATGTACAATTTGCGTTTTCCGTCTAGAGAATATCTACTTATCTAGTTAGCCGTGGGAAGTATCTGTGAATATTATCCAAGGCTAATGAATCCAATATAATGGAACAAGAATTAAATATGAAAAATCTTTTGTAAAAAGTGTACGACCCTAGTATTGCTAGTAAGTTTGTACTCCTCCGATCCTTAATGTAAGGCCCATTTAATTAATTTGATTAGATTAAGGAAGTTAGGTAAATTAGTTAATTATAAGAAAAGTGACACATTTTCCTAAAACACCATAATCTTTCTTAATACCCCATCTCTTTCTTCTACTTGATTATGGTTGAGGGAGTATTTATAGGGGTAATTTAGAGAAAATTGACAAATATGAGAAATTGGTCTTATATTTAGGACCAAAACCAACTCAAGAATTGGGTCCTATATTAAAGACCGGAGGAGTATATAATTTTTCTGGATTCACACATGTTAAGTCTCTTCAAATCTCAATGTCAGTTGGCAAGGAGATCCTAGCTTTGCATTTCAATATTAGTTTTTTATAATTTCTTACTGAAAATATCATTCAATATCATTTTGTTTCTTTATAGAAAAAAATTTGAATGCCCACTATTAGAGCTAGTAAAGCCAGTCTGACAGTGCGAATACAGGCCAGCCAGTGGCGGTGCAGGACGAAAGCAGGACGAAAGCGGTATCGACTGAAATAACCCGCACCTTAGTAGGCTGGTAGCCCCACTAAATATTTTTTTTTTTGGAAAAAACTATTATTATTTATATAGGTTGGGTTTAGTTTGAAATGTTAAAATTAAATTTGAAGTCTTAAACTTGAATAATGGGTTGTAATAAAAATAGTATGAGAATTAATTTATAATTTAAGAAGATATTTTAGAAAAACTGACACATGTTTTTTAATAAATAATTAATTTAACTAATTTTCTAATCTAAATTAATTAAGTAGATCTTTTATATATATGTATATCTAAGCATCACATGTTTATTTAATCATATAAAAGTATGTATAGTAACAACAAATAGATGAAAAATAAAATATAGACGATACTCTCTATATAACTACAAACATATATAAAATGCTTAATTACATATGTAATAATATAAATGAAGCAATGTCCATATGGAATTTGAGAGTTAAAATCCTGTAATTATATTATATAATATATTAAAAATTTCATGAAAATTTTTTTAAAAAATTAAAAATATATATATATATTTTTTAAAAAAGGCTAGCCCATAGTCACAGCAGAGCAGGCCATAGACAGTGTAGGTTGGAATGACCCGCACTTTGATGGGCTAGCATGAGCTTGCTTTTTTTAACAGACAGACCCAACCCGTATTACTGGCTTCCCGCTGTACACTAGGAACTGTGTTGCTGAGAAAATCCGAATGATTGAGAAATCCAAATGATTGCCACTTGCAATTGGCAAACACTTCAGTTGAGTCATTCAAGTGAGAAATTATTATTTTTGAATTATATTATACAAAGAGTAAGGACGTGGCCAGCATCTGTCAAAGTCATTATTTTAAAATGTAGTGACAAGATTGACACGCGAATATTAGTACTGAGCCTGGGATTAAACTTCTTCAAGATGCTCAATCATACCATATAGCTGAATCTCATGTTCAAACGCATTCTTTAGCGTTCCAATCAAGTCGCCACAAATTCAAAAAAAAGTAAGTGAAATTGGACAGTATAATAAACCATATATACATACCAAATATAAATGGGTTAAGGTACATCTACCACTCCAAAATAGTTTCACAGGTGTATCTAGTACCTTAAAATATTTTATAGTGCATCTTGCACCCTGAAATATTTATTTTAGGTGCGTCCAACACTCTAAAATATTTTTTAGTGTATCCAGCATCTTAAAATGTTTTTTTTAGGTGCATAAAGCATCCAAAAATATTTTTTGGTGCATTTAACATCAAGGCAAAAAAAATATTTCAAGATGCTGGGTGCTCCTAAAAAATACTTTGAAGTGTTAGATGCATCACAAAATACTTTAGGGTGCTAGATGTGTCTGAGAAAAAATTTCAGGGTGTTTGATGCATCTGAGAAAATACTTCAGAATGTTAGATGGACTTTAACCCGATAGAAATTTCTAGTTCCCCTTTTCATCTCCCATGTTTTGATTTTGACTCCAATCACATATGCTAAGTGTGGGAGAAGAACATAATGTACAGTTAAAAAAAAAAAAAAAAGAGGACGAAATAAATGTAATATAATATTTTTCTGTTTTTTTTCAGATGCAGCTATATGATATACAAGTCAAAAGTATCGATAGTTTATACAAAGTAATTCCACCTTTTATCCACAAAATTTTTTTTTGGGGGGAGGGGGGAGACCATTCTTAAAAGTAATTCGAAGGTTTTTTTTTTTAAGTCAATCATTCTCTCACCTAAAAGGAATTGAACTTCAAAAATCCATATCCAAATTTAAGACTAAAAACCTAGAACAGTTTTATTCCCGTGTTTACCAGCTATAAGAAAGAGAAGCCATGACTAAGAGCTATGTTTGTGCTAGTGGGGACAGATAAATCTATCACACATCACCCAATGATCTTGTGTCCCAACAAAGCACCTCCTTCATTGATTCCCCAAGATGAACCCAACCCAAGTCAAAAGGAATACACACCAATCATGGATGACAAGAAATTCCTTTTCATCCCCTTCAGTCTTATAAACTATACAAAAGGATCAATCCAAAGTATATTCTTCTAACATGTTAAGACTAGAAATATGAACGAACCTCTGAGGTATAATAGTATCAGTATCTACAAAATCAAACCCAGTTTCAATTCAATACTTACCACTCCGTTTCTTGAACATTGATTTGACAAATAACAAACAAGCGATTAAGAATCCTAAAGCTGCAACCCCTCCTACCGCAAGAGCCACTGTCTTCTGTGTGTTGTGTTGCCCCATTCCTGATTTCAAGCAGAGCAACCACAATATAAAGAGAGGCATTAGAATCATGTCTTCAAATGCTATCACAGCTAGAGGTTTATATCTTCACACAAAGAAGATCGGATACCTACCAGTCTACCATCCTAACATATTTCACAGGTTTTCAAATGAAGTCTGGCCCCATATTTGAATCAACGGGACAAAATAGCCGGTATCATCATCAGTTATCAGATTCAGTGTAATATGTTGCAGTGTTATTGGAAATTTACATGAAGATGATCAGTTAAAAGTATGGAAATAATACTCTACAAGTTTACATCAAGATGCACAAGTTAACGAATTGTCCGCTGAATCGAAATGAAAGAGTATATTCTCGGTGATTTTGGCAGTGTCCTAACAAATATAATATTATGGTCACTTTTTCGTCGGGGGATTTCTATTTTCTAATTACTAATATGTACAAATGTTCTGATCATATAAGCACAAAGTAGGTGAAAAATGTAGCACTGAATTACAATTAAACAGGTATTGAAGCATTATCAGAATGATGGGAACTAAGACCTCTCTCTACAGCTTTACCTGAAGACGAAGATGATGACTCGCCATTCCCAGGCACTCCATTAGGATAAAAGTTGTAGCTGATATAGCACCTTTGAAGATAAATTTTGGCAGAAATTGAGTCACCACACAGAGATTTAGCCTGGTCCTCAGCACTCTTCACACAATCCCCGCAATCACTACTAGATAAATCGCCTTCGCACTGCCCCAACACATACAGAGACTGGTAGCTTCCAGTGTAAAACAAGCTTCCTCCACTTTTCACTCCATTTTCCACCATCCCAAAGGCTGTCTCTCTTCTCTCAGCGAACCCACTTCCGCTCGCCTGAATCGACCCACATACCTTGTACAGCAGCTGAGTCCCAGAGACTTGCTTGAACCCGACGATCTCGTACCGCAAATAGCACCCATTGAGCTGGATACGCGCCGCCACAACCTGGCCACAAAGCTTGCCGAGCATATCGGGAATCTTGCTCACACATTTGTAGCAGTCGGAGTTTGAGAGGTCTCCCCTGCATTGGTACAGACCCATGATCGCATTCTGGCCGTCGCCGGCGGTCGTAGTGGCGAAAACCTTTTGTGCAGATTGTGCGACGAGAGTACCCACTAGAGACTTGAGGTTCTGCGAGTAAATCCCTGATGGGTCTTGAAATTTCTGGTCCGCACAGCCCTTGTAAACCAAGTCAGTGTAATCCGCAGCTGAAATACGATGAAGAAGGAGCGCGAAAACAGTGAAGAGAAACATAGAGTGGAGAGACGAAGGTTTTCTCATCATACCCATTCTCGGATTTCTGTCAAGAGTGAAAATTACCTTCAGAGTTTTAGGCCATGTAAGGTTTTGGAGAGGGCAAGAGGGATGGGAGGTTCTGGACAGAAGCTTAAAAAGGGTTTTGAATTTTTGGCGATTTGCTACGAAAACGGAAAGAAAGCTTTTGTTGTGTGAGATTTGGACTTTATTTTGGGTTATTTTCGTGCACAGCACCGGTATAAATGACTGCATTATCTGAATTCTGAAGAATGAATGAACTTGTTGATTTTAGCATAATGAATCATTAAAGGTTAAAGACGATCCCGCATCAAAACCAAAAGTGAACGCGATTTGATATGATTGCGTGGCAAACTGGGACATGAATTTATATGTGCGTGAGTGTTTTGACCAGAACACCTAACTTTTGAAAGCAGTGAATAATTAATAATTTGAGGTCACAGGAAAACCGCGTTACTCTGGGACAGCAACCATAGCTGGATCAGAATGCAGGGGCCCATCGGAATTAAGCAATTCACCAGCTTTGTCAGAGACATAAATTTCGGGAATATGGAAAAGAATCAAGGGAATATTTCATTTTACATTGTGCATAGTTCTTCAGTAGTTCCCGGAGGGATTATTAGTCGACAGGAGAGTTTGATTTATTCAGTGAATCTATTAACTATCCTGCACGATTAACTTGATCATTTTGATTGCCAAAATTTGCCACTCATTATTCGTAGTTGAGACATTAAAAACAAAAGAAAGAACATTCACGGCAGACACGAGCATCATTGGACTCGTTTGATGCTTGGAGCATGCAATAACGAGTTAACGATATGTCTTGGGAGGAAGCCCAGAAACCCTGACTGCTATATACAGTATTGTTCTGAGAATTTGCTATGAAGATGCATTTTTGCAACTTAACTCTTGGGATAAAAGGTTGGAGCTCGACTGAATCCAAAACATAATGAATTTGCGCTTTTTTTGAGTTGCAAAAGATTGGCGAGCTTCATTTGAGTATGTCCTCCCCTTGTGTTGCTTTGGTCCTTGTTGGATCAGGGATATAGTTTTGTGTATGCAATACTAATATCAAAAGGCTAGACTCTACATAATGAATCTAAACATTGTTTCTGTTACAATCTCCATGTATCTCTCAATCCATGAGCCATTAGTCCTGACTGTTTTTGTCAAGTCCATGTTCTTGTTTAGGTTTTTTGAATATATATTTCTTTAGATGGTGCCTGTTTAGTGTTGTGTCTTGCTGATTTGTATTGATGGTTGTGATTTTTTTTTTTCAGACACGGGAGAAAGCTCATAGCCCGGACAAAAATACAACTATCAAAGATTGCATTCCAATCTCTTATTAGGCATTAAAATTTTCACATGGCCAGAATAGACATCTAATTTAGAAAAATTTGAAAGAGCCACTTTGACCAAAGTATCAGCAGTCTAGTTCTTTATTTGTGATATACTTCTCTAGTTCTTAATATAAAACATACTTAACTAATTTGATTAAATTAAAAAGTTAGGTAAATTAGTTAGTTATAAGAAATATGACATGTTTTTCCTAAAATACTATAATCATCTTTCTTAATACCACATCTTCCTCTCTACTTGATTATGGTTAGAGAAGTATCTATAGGGGTAATTTAGAGAAAATTGATAAATATGAATAATGAGTCTTATATTTAGAACCAAAACTAACTGAGCAATCGGATCTTATATTAAGAACCAGAGGAGTATGATTTACTTTCAATTCCCCTAAGTAATCCATAAAGCTGCGGAATTGTTTTACCATCAGATTACACCTACCATCTCTTTGTTATTTGCCCTTTTTGGGAAGTCGCCTCAAAACGAATCCCGTCCTTAAGTAAAGATTAACGTTACCCTTTCTTTCTTTTTTGATAATCCTGTCAACTACCCGATATTCAGTCCCCCCCCCCCCAGATCTTATCTAAACGTTTGACCAACCGACTAATTCGCATTGAGGTCTTGTAATCAAAATGCCACTCGGATTTTTTTTTTAACCCTTTTGTGATCAAGGCTTGATTGCTAAATTGAGTGCTCCCTTTTTAATGTGATTGCCCAGCAATGAATTCTACATTTTACATGAAATGTTGAACAATTGCTTATATCATGTTATATGTTATTTATAATGCTTGAATAAGTGAATTTTATATTTGATTGAACGAACCTTTGTGCACATCTCACTCACACACATGAAAAGTTGTAGTTTCTGACCGGTCACTAGCAGCTTGTTATGGTTTTTTTTTTTTGGTCCATGTATTATACATTTTATATAAATGGAAATCTCCTATTTCTGCAGACCGTCCGATCAACGGGGCCGCACTCGTCCCGCCATCTCTTTTTAAAATGTATGGACTAGATTTGACGGTGGGTAGAAAGTCACCACTCACCTATGTGATTGTGGGTCATTTTACTTTTTAAAAAAATCTATTACGATTAAAATTGATGGACATTGTATTAAAAAAAAAAGGAGAAAACACACTAAAATCCTCTAAAAAATGCTAAAAGACAAATCAGGGTGAATAAATTTCAAAATCTCAAATTAGACCCCTTTATGCTATTTTGGAATTTTAAAATATTGTGAAATAATAACATTGTTCTCATTCACAGTAACTATTTTTATAAAATTATTGACTACTCTATTTAACTATTGATTGCTTTTGCTTTCAAAATTCCGGTAACTGCTTTTATATCGTTACTAATTACACAAAAGTAGTAAATAACTAAACAAAAAGTAGCCATTAAATTTCCAACAACACTTTATGTATTTTTTGAATTTTTGAAACAAAAGTAGTGAATAGCAAAACTATAATAGTCAATAGCTAAATAAGAGTAGTCACCAAAATTTTTGAAATGAAAGTAGTCAATCACGATGCTAGAGCAGTCAATAGCTAAATAAGTGTAGTCACCAAAATTATAAAAACAAATGTAGTCAGTAGTTGAAAAAGAGTAGTCATTATATAAGGAATAGTAGTCACCAGAGCTCCGACGACTAATCACCAGAGTTTCGGTGACAAGTCGCCAGAGCTCCAGCAGTTAGCCACAGGTAGGGTCGTTAGTGTTAGAGCTTTGGGGGCTAGAAAACTAGCCAAAGGTACTGACGTGGTAATATTAAAAAAAAGAAAAAAGTAATAAAAGGCATTTGTGTAATTTTATAATGTTTGAAGATTTCAAAATGGTACTAAAGGTCTGAATTAGGATTTTGAAATTTACCCACAGTAATTTGTCCTTTAGCAATTTTTAGAATATTTTATTATTTTTTTCTTTGAAAAAAAGTTTGTGGAGATGAGAGTATGGTTATAAATTTGTAGAGGTTAAAGAATAATATTGATCTTCCAACCCACTAAATTCACACAAAATTTCACCTTAATCTCGGAAGTATGTAGAATATATTTTTAGTTCCTTAAAATCAGCATTGTTAGTCTTGTTATTGGAAAATATCGATCTGGCAAATTTAAATGATAATTTTATAATTAAATACAGCAACCAAAACATGCTTAAAATATAATTACTTAATATAATATTTTTATATTTTGAGAGAGGAGCAATTGGTGTTGAAAATTTAGATTAGATCAGATGACATGCTTACTGTATTTTATTTTAAATATATTTCATTTTCAATTTACAAAACTTACATTAAAGATTAATATGTCAGCATTTGATTGTAAAATCATCATTTAGGAACTTGTCTGTAATGACGATTAGAGCATTTAAAAGCATTTTTGATATTGATACATGCATATGGTGTTAATTATAACTGATAATATAATTATGTTTATGGATAGTTGATAAGCATAATCAGGACAATGAATGTACTAAACTCCGCAGATATAACAGTTGATATACAAAAATAGAATAGTTATATAAAGTGAGCATTGGTTCAAATGAAATTTTGTTTGAATTCGAGTCTTGCTATATATATGAGTTTTAATCAAAATGTTGTTTATTATATACCGTAAGTTTTAATCAAGATGTCACTGCTGACCTTGGGCCACCACCCTGGTTAAGTAACAAACAAGATTTGGTTTTCAAATGTTTTTCATAAAATCCCATTTCTGGGAAAGTGTCCCAGGTTGTTTAAAGAAAAAAAATTTAAAAGAGTCAAATTTGTGGGTACTTTATTACTTAAAAGTGGTTCCATCACTTCCATGTTAAGCAAATACTCCTTTGGTCCTTAATATATGACTAAATTGTTGAGTTAGTTTTGGTCCTAAATATAAGACCCATTTCTCATATTTATCAATTTTCTCTAAATTACCCCTATAGATACTCCCTCAACCATAATCAAATAGAAAAAGGAGACGGGGTATTAAGAAAGATGATTATGGTGTTTTAGGAAAAATATGTCACTTTTCTTATAATCAACCAACTTAATATGTCACTTTTCTTATAATCAACCGACTTAATATGTCACTTTTCTTATAATCAACCAACTTATCTAACCTTCTTAATATAATCAAATTAGTTAAATGGGTCTTATATTAAGTACCGGAGGAGTACTACCTCCGTTCCTTAATACTCTTCCAATCCTTAATATAAGACTCATTTAACTAATTTGATTAGAATAAGAAAGTTAGGCAAGTTAGATAAGAAATGTAACACGTTTTTTCTAAAACACCATAATCATATTTCTTAATACATCCTCTCTATCTTTTATTTAATTATGGTTAAGAGAATATCCATAGTCATATGGATAATTTAGAGAAAATTGATAAATATAATAAATAGGTATTATATTTAGGACCAAAACCTGTAACATACTATTTTTTTTAAATAAGATATCAATTAATTAAAATAATATAAATTATTATTGTATTATTAAAAAAAATAGATACCCAGCTTTCCACCGAATTCGGTGGAAAGCCTGGGCATCATTTAATGGAACAAAGAATAAGGGGGGAGGTGTTAATGGCCGAAGAAAAACGGGGAAGTAGCAGATGGATGTAGAAAAATGGGTAAGGGGCGGTGGAAAAATTTGAACATGGGGTTGTTAAATACTTTCACCCCAGATCTTTTTCAAGTCGAGGGAGGAGACGAAAGAAGAAGAGAGAGCGAAGGAAGAGAGAAGAGTGTGAGAAGCAGAGAGGAAAAGAGAGAGA